AAGGAGTAATCTGGGAAAATGAACAAAGGAAGAATGCAGTCATTATCTGGAGCAAGACTCAAAGTGATTTATTGTCGAGGCTGATGTGAAGCTAGTGAAGGTGAGAGAACTGAGGTTGGTATGGTATGGGACATGAAGTTGACAGAACTAACCTGGACCTGAAATCATAAATTTTAGCAGAAATCAAAATTGGCTTAATTCCAATTATCATCTGTCTCTTTATAGATGAGGTAGATGCAATTAATTCAGCAGGAAAAATGACATTATAAATGCTGAATCCAAAAAATGTGACAAGATGCAGTTAATATATTCACAATAGACTAACAGAAGTGCATCTGTTCCTATTCTCTTCCAACTCTAAACATTTTCATTTCATCATATGATACGCCCTGAATGATTAGAACAGAGGTGAACATGAGACACTAGGGAATATGAAAAACAAACAGTTATTGAGTCCAATTATTGGCAGTTATTGCCAAACAGTTATTGAGTCCAAATTTCAATATTCAGGATCCCACATATTACTTTTGACCATCATTTACAAGGGATAAATGCACATTTAAAATAGTTAGCTTTTGGAGGCAAATGAAAGTACACATTTTGAAATGATACCTCGAAAAAAGCAAAGAGCAAGTCCCTTGGCATGAGTTCATTTCTTCGTAAATGAATATCTAGCATTTGTTGGGGATATAATCTTTCAATGGTCTGATTGTCTACAAACATCTTTGATTGATAACTGAAACGTTGTAGACATCAAGAGAGTCTTGAATGTGTGCTGTCAAAGCAAAGGAATAAAGCAACAAACATGATCAAATTATACGTCAGACTACAATGGATTGATCTGCTCCCAACAACTTCTGACTGGTTGGGTTAGGTTTAAATTACCATTATGTGGTAGTGAGATGATTATATGTGGCATCAAATAACTATCAATAGATCTGTTCAACTATTCATAAACATTCCAAGGATTGAAATATCTATCCATATATGTATCAGTTGGCACAAAACAAGGGCCACTACAGAATGTAACAAATGGACATTGTTTTGAGATCAGACACTATATTTTGGGTTTTGGTAAAGTTGCACTCAGTTTTAATTTCCCTTTCATTTTATATTTAAAATAGACAACTGGGTTTTGAGACACAGTTTTTATGGAATTTTCATTTCAGTTAAATTGATCTGCATATTTGAGTGAAGGTACAACAAAATGTGTATTTACGTTATAGATCTAAAATTATTCAGCAGTTTGATTCAAACCAATTCCTTCATCAAACTTATTATCAAAATACAATGCTCAAGTAAATTCATTCAGATATCTAAAGTTAATATTGAAATCCATTTGGAGGATAACTCAAGTTATTGACTTTTGCACGAATGATGAAGAGAGGCAATGCAAACAAACTGAGATGATCTTAAAGGCAGCCCTGAAACAGGAAAAACCTGAAGGCTTATCTTTGAATGTGGCAGAACAAATTTAAAAGGCTTTTAAAATGGTATGTGGGATGCTTGGCTTTGTAAATAAAACGCAGGGTACAAAAACAAGGAAGTTAAATGTTTGTGAAATTTTTGTAAAACCCTGGTTATTACCCAGATGTGGTATGACGGATGATGCTACAGCACTTCAGGAAGCATGCCAAGACCTCAGAGAGTTTGCAGGGGAGATTTACTGGAATGGGATTTAGATGAAGCTCCTCAGTTATGTGGTAAGACTAGAGAAACTGTAGTAGAAAATATCAAGGGGATTTGATGGAGATAGTCAACATCACGAAGGGTTCTGATAAAATAAATAGAAGAGTAAGTTGGAGAAACTCTTTCCAGAAAGGGGTCAGAGGACAAAGTTTTACGGTGATTGGCTAAAATAATCAGATGCAAAAATATTTTATATGTAGCAGATGATAAGAAAATTGAAATGCACTGTCTGAAAGGGTGATGGAAGGAGATCTAATTATCTTTTTCAAACACAAAGTGAATATTTGAAAAGCATTGGGTTTTGTGGAGTAAGAGAAATTCAATAACCCTTTCAAAGAGCCATCATATACCTTGTTCTGTGTTGCATCACTCCATGATTCCATGAACTTATTTGGTTCAATATTACAGGGGTCTGAGCAAGTGGGCCATGGTGACAATTATGGCAGAATTGGAGGTGAAGGCTGGTGAGCCCTACCTCTAAATTCAGAGCTTCTCATGCCGTCTTTCATACTTTCAGACATGGCATGGTGAGATTCTCATGAGTACGGGTGAGTTACCAATTATGGGGACTATTGCTTGTTAAACACGTTGCTGAATCAATCTGCCTCATTAATCAGTTTTTTATCTTTCTGAACTTGTCAAAACAAGCTAGAAAATGAAAAAAAAAACTCAACATGGAAAACAGCGTGGGAACCTGGTGGATTCAGCTCACTGCTCACTCCAAACGACCTCCAGGTTGTGTTCAAACAGCAACCCAGGGTATGGTCAGTGGGAAACAGCCATGTGCATCCTTCATCCATAAACAATGGCATCTGGCATATGACAACCTTTAACAACGATCACGGAACCTCTTTGATACATGGCAGAGTGCTCTGGAAGCACAGACTTACATTGCAGGGTGCATTGACAGCTAACATTGGAAGGCTGTCGAAAGGATACTTTATGTGTTTAGGCAGGGACCCAGCTCACAGATTGGACAAGGCTGCATCTCAGAGCTGCTCGCTTGTTCTGTTAGTGATTGCTCACATAGCACCTACCTGCATTCTCATACCATGCATGCCCTGTCTTGCCATGCCAATTAGCACAGTCACACAACCAGGCAGCTTGTCTTGATTTTCTGATGAAGGGTCTAGGCCCGAAACGTCAGCCTCTCTGCTCCTATGATGTTGCTTGGCCTGCTGTGTTCATCCAGCCCTGCACCTTGTTGTCTCAGCTTGTCTTGATACTCAGCAGGCCTCAGTCAAGCGAGTGTATGTCTTGCTGTATGGCAGTGTCTACATCAATCTTACACCCGCACCTTCTGCCAGCAGCTTATATGGCAAACACACTTTGTCTAAAAGTCTTAGGGGAGTTCTCCTCTCTAAAATCCATGGAAGAACTCATCAGTTAGGGGATCCTGCACAGTAAGTCAATGGCAGCAACCAGGAGTCTGTCCAGAGGATTGGCCACAGTCATGTGATCTGAGTAGGAGGGTCCATGTCTCTGCAGTCAGGGCAGCGAGCCATTGTCAGTGCTATAGTTCAGATAATATCCAGTCCAGAAGGTGGAGCTAACACAGTTGGGCAGATGTACAGCCACCAGTCAAGGGTCTGGGCACAGCTCATCCAGGTCTGTCCACTTATGTCACTCAAGGGAGTGAGTCATAGTCAGTCCATCAGCTCTTTTCACTGAAACCAGGGGAACGGGGGTTGGGGTAGGTCACGTGATGAGACTCAGCAGGAAAAGATTTGGCAAGTTTAACAAGAAAAGATAAAGATAAAGATAAACTATTTCCAGTGAATGGGGTTTCAAAAATTACGGGCCATCGCCTGAGAATTAGGGCCAGGCTGTTCAGGAGAGATGTTAGGAAACACTTCTCCACACAAAGAATGGTAGATGTTTGGAACTCTCTTCCAGAAATGGCAGTGGATGAAGGATCAGTTGTTAATTTTATATCTAATTTAGATAATATTTGTTAAGAAAAGGTATTAAGGGACATTGGTCAAAGACAGATGTATGGAGTTGGGCCACAGATCAGCCATGATCTCACTGAATGGTGGAACAAACTTGATTTGCTGAGTGGCCTACCCTTGTTTCTGTGTTTCTAAGTTAGTCTTTGAGACTGTGAGCTGCAGGCTGGTGGAAACGGTGGATAAAGTTTGTGAATGGGGAGCAAGATTATCTGCAAGCAAGGGTATGGTAAAGCATGTCTGAGAAGGGGCTAGCGGGGAGGTTTTAATAATGATCAGGAGCACTGGTTTCATGGAAAGGTCACTAAATGACCACTTATGCCAAGGATTGAGTGGGAACAGTGGACAGGTGCATGCACACACAGATGGGTTGGGTGGGGACCTGGGGAGGTATGAAGCTTATAGGAAGGGTTATCCGGAGGGGGATCTGGATGTACATGGGCTCACCAACACATTGCGATGAAGGCTGCAAGCCACTGGCCAAAGAACACTTCAGCCTTCCATCATGCTGGGAATTGAAAATGCGCAACGGAGGAAGAAAATGGCTATGTCTACACTCATATTGGGTAAGGTAAGTAACTCAACCTGTGAGAAAGGAGGCTGCAGCACCCACCAGTGTTCGAGCTTTTCAAGAAAAACAACATTGCACATGGACCCATGCACTGTGCATGACAGTGACCTCAGGGTCCCTATTTCCTGGCCACCCGAACATATTTGCCCTTTCTGTATGATGTACGTCTCTGTCACAGATACTACTGGGACAATTAATTGATAGTTATACTTTTGGATTTAGAGGCTGTGAAACGATGGCTATAATGTATGAGGAGGGCCAAAGATATCAGCCTGACCCAATATCATGGATAAGAAACCCCGTGTTATCCAAATCTCAGGTATCCAGAATTCTCATGCAACTGACATCTAAGATTCAAATGGGCAATTCCAGATGTTTGAGATGCTGACAGCAGGGACTTTACTGTATTAGCAAGAAGCAACTATCACAATAGGGTACACCAATGTTTAATGAGTGATCCTGGCTGCTTGTTTTCAAAATGTGCATTCATCTTGTGGCAGCGACAAGTCGAGTTCTCCCAGGCACCATCTCCAGATCCCCTTCCTGATAGCCCTTCCCATATGCTTCACACCTCCCCAGGTCCCCACCCAACCTATCTGCATATGCATGCATCTGCCCACTGTTCCCACATGTGACTTGGAAATTCAGGTAACGGACACTGCTGCATTCCTCCTGTGTGCTGGAGACCAGAATGATAACTGAATGTGGATTGTTCTAGATGATGCAGCAGATGATGCAGATTTCCATCATGCTGTCATCAAGCCCCACATTTAAAGACTAACAAACAGACATAATGCTTAAAACGATGGCCTTTATATGAAAGTACAAAATTAATTACAATCCATGGTCACCCATCTTACCAAAGTGCCTTCAATTTGTCTTCTATCTCCTCTACCTTCCATTACATCTTGGTGAACTCCCTGGTTCTGCAGCTGTGTTGGAGGGTGCCTGCTCAGCAGTAGAGCCCATTGATCCTGCAGCTTTGGCCAGCCAACCCAGGGGCACTTGTGCCTTGATGGGTCAGACATTCTGAGTGGATAAGTTGACCCCCTTGTCGTGAAGTTTCAAAGGTCAGAGGGCAGCAGGCAAGGGAGAGGTGAAGGCCACCTCTGGAGTATCCTGAGAGGAGTCTTCTGAATGGCCTGTGTGTAATCACTGCTCCAGCTGCCTGCCTCCAAGCACCATCCTGTCTCGATGTGAGGAGGTGATCTGGAGCATGCATTAGGTTTCCCACACCTCAGTCATCATTTGTTCAGCCCCAAGGACCAGTGGCTGGGGCAACAGAGTGCAGATATGTGACTTTCTCTCCAGCAGACCCTGAGGGTGCTGAGTCTAGCTCTCCAGGCACTGCTAACCTGTCCATAGACCCAGACAGACAGTCACGTAATTCACTACATTGCTACAGCTTCTGGGCAATGAGGACCACTATCTCACACATTCCTGTCTGCTGCTCCTGATCCCCACTGTGTACGTAGATGAAGTCTCTGATTGCTGACCTCACAGGGTCCTTTCCTGCCTGGGGCTGAGCAGGTGCCTGGTCTCTTGCTGCCGTCCAAGCGCCAGCAGCCTGGAGAGCTTCTTCCTTAGCCAGCTGCACGGCTGTCACTGTGAGGTGCTCACCAGACTGTGGTGTCACACACTCAATGCACAATATTCCCATTGAGGTGTCAATATCTGGTCAGGTGGCAGCCTTGCCGATGCACCCTCTAAGGCCTCTGTACTCTCATCCAAAGAGATCTCGAGCTTCTGGGGGAGCTGGGCATTTCTCTGGAGAGGTAGTGGAGATGCTGGCTGTGTCTGAAAGACAAAAGAGAGGAGAGTCACCAGAGCTTACAGGTGATGTGCAATGAATGGCACTGATAGCAAGATTAATGTGAGAGTAGCTGTGGAGTAAAGAGTGGTAATTATTCCACTGACAGGATATGGATGATTCAGCATCCCCAGAGGAGATGTCCTGGTTTTCAAGTGCAGCAACAGGATTCTCTCCTCATAGTGATGGGGTGAGAAACCAAATGTTGTTCAGCTTTCAACAGCTTTATGCTGCAGTGGGCTGTGTTCTCATGTTATATGAGAAAGTGGGGGAAGGGCGTGAGGTGAAAGTGATGGTGTGGGAGCTAGGCCTAGTGCATGTTGTGGAAAGATGGTGAGGTGTTACAAGGAAGGCAGTGCAGAGGGCAGGCAGGATTAGTGGGAGTTTGGGAGGGAGAGAGTGAGTGAGGGACGATGTTGCAGGCAATAGTGAGAGTGGTAGAGAACAAGTCTTGGCGGAAGATCTGTGCAAAAGCAGATGTAGAATGCACATATATTAGGGTAGCGGAGAAGATCATTGAATCTATTGAGGAATTGCTGGCTGTTTCTTTAGCTCATGGAGGTGGCACTGACCAGAATGGTGATCTCAGATCAGAATGGTATGATCTGGTGGTGTGGTCTCCTTTGCCTGTCCTCTGGAAAGTTGACAGCTCTCCTTTACACCATCCGCTTAACCAGGACCTTGAGGTCCCTGTTGGAGAATTGCAGTGCCATCTTCCCCTTTTCTGACATCTTTCAGAAGTGGCCTTGAGTGAGCAGGTCAGCTTCAGAATGCCAGTGCTTGTCTGGGTGGAGGCACATGAGATGCCAGTCTTTTGGCAGATTTCCACTGATTGATTAATTGTTCTGATAAAAGTATGTGGTAAGATGGAATCAGATGAAACAGATGCCATGGGTGGAGTAGGTAGTTAATGAAGCAAGTTCGGGAAGGTACAGCAACAGAACTCATTAGGCCTTGTTACCACTATCCAATGATTTCAAAACCTCTGATGAGTCCTTTTCTAGATTGGAAAAATATTGAGACTTGTAACAAACTATAGCAATAAACTAAATTACTTAATAAGTCTTTTTCTTGTTCCCATTAAGTTATATTCAACTGAATTTTATAATTTTGGGCAAAGTGCAGGTCATTTTGAGTTTGATGGAGTGATTTCTGGCTCATTGCATTATGGGCAAGAACCACATCTGTTTGTGTGCCATATTACCACACACCCTTCCTGGAGCAACTTGCCACTCATTGGAGATCCCAGAATTACTTGTCTCGTCACTGGCGCTGGTGCCATATTTGAAACACCATTGTGTGCTGGGACAAGCACCATTGGTCTGGAGCTGCCTTGCATGGTTCCGACCATTTACCCCAGGCATGCAAGACAGGGAGCAAATGGAGTGCCTCCTTCTAGATTTACTTTTTTTCGATGCATATTAAGCTATTTCTAACTCAATAAATTATGATATGCATATTAAGCTATTTAAGCTAACTTATTGCCTTAGAAGTAGTTCTTGGGGGATTTACAGGGGCTAGTCTGGTGAAATTCTAAAAATAGGCACTAAATGTCTGTTGAAATATGTCTTTACAGACATTTCAGTCCTCATAACCCATTACATGAACTTGCCTGTAGGTACTTAAACAAAATACGTAGGGGTTTAACAGTCAAGTGTTGATTAACCACTATTTTCATGGAGCAGTTCACATGGCTCCATATTGTCATTTCAACTGAAGATGTGGAAACTGCTGAATTCACACAGCTGCAAATTTCAGAATTTCTACGAAAACTGCACAGTTCTCAACAGAATTATGAAAGGACTCAGATTTATTTTATTCTTGTTTCACATAATATTAATTAAAAAATGATAAGACCATTAAGGAACATTCTTCACAAAACCTTGACAGATCCAATGGACTCCAGGTTGTAATACATACAGGAAGATTTGACCAGGACCTGAGTGGAGGCACATGAGATGCCAGTCTTTTGGCAGATTTCCATTGATTGATTAGTTGCTCTGATAAAAGCATGTGGTAAGATGGAATCAGATGAAACAGATGCCATGAGTGGAGTAGGTAGTTAATGACTGGAAGGTTTTACTTATGTAAAATGGAGTAGTTTCTACGTGTCTGCAATTGGCAATTCTGGCTCAGTTTGCACCCAGAATTGTGCTTGTTTCGAGAAAAGACTCTCTCCCCTCAAGTTTCATCTCTAATTAATTTGCATACTGTTTGACACAAAATCTATCCTGAACAAACACTATTGAGTGCAAACTTCAGTTCATAATCCTTCAAGCCGAATTAATATTTTGATTTCAATGTTTCAAAAAAAATACATTTTCAAATGATTAGTGAAAAGGGGCAATGAAACACATATTTTTGAATATTTTTACAAAGACTTATTCAGACTTGTATATTTGAAATTTATATAATTTGAATGTTGGTTGTATGTTTCATCTCCTCTTTCACTGTTAAGAGTTTCCTGAAACATGTCAAATTGATGTCAACCAGAACTAGGAAATGAACAAGTGATCCATGAAGAATTTGACTAGAGAAAAGCCCATCTGCTCCATTTATATGTATTCCTATTCCCAGAGAGACCCTTGTAAAATTATTGTGATCTGTTTTCAGTCCTAATGCCAAACATTATTTTGAATTCATAAAACTGAACACTTCAACTCAGGGCTGTAGAGAATGTCAGTATGTCAAGTCAGCAGAGAGACTGGGCAATCTAATTATTATTGACATTCGTGTTTAAGTATTTTGTTGCATTTAACTGCTGGGGTACATATTTCCATTTTACTTATTCCCACAAGACCTCACAAAATAAGTTCTTGTTCAGGAATTGTCAGCATAATTTTGTCTAATTAAATGTTATTTTATTAGAAAATAGAAACCTGCTATTTGTGACTTTTGCTGTTTTTAAACCAAGTTGTACAGCTGAAGCCAAATATTTGTCATGACTTCTGATTTGGTAGATAAACAGGAGGCTGGAAGAACACAAGTCAGGCAGTATTTGGAGGATGGACAGTAATACCCGAAACGTTCACTTCTCCTTTCCTCCAGATGCTGCCTGTCTTGCTGTGTCCTTCCAGCCTCCTGTTTGTCTACCTTCCAATCCAGCACCTGCAGTCTCTAACCTTGTCAGTTTGTTAAACAATCCTGCTGATGAATCCAGAAGGGAATCTGAAGTACCAGCCTCTTGCTGTGAACTCAGGAGAAGGAAGAGAGAGAGGTGACGTAAAAATGGCCAGTCACCAAGCTGGGAACATGACATTATCTAAAGAAAAATGTTATCTTTTTCCAGGGGTGTTCAAAGTATAAAGCTGACTAGGATAATTATGCTTTAGTTTTACTTGGTTTCTTGATTTTGAGTAGGATATGGCAGATAAAGTGAAAAATGTAAATTCACTTGCTGCCTATGAAGTGAAACAGCTCAGTGATTTGGATCTGGCCTCTCACTGTTAAAAGATCAGTGAAGGGTGCATGCGAAGAGGTGTGAAAGACACAGGACGGGATGTTTTTAAGATCGGCAGGGTTTCCTGGATTAAGGAATGCATGACTGCTGATCATGCCAGTCCCACATCCAGATAACGGCTCATTCAGTGTTAAGTGGCTGGAAATTGGGCTTCCAGGCCTCAATCTGACCAAAATCCTGCCTTATGGAGCTGTCAATAATCTGATCAACTGGCAGCTCCACAATCCAAGCTGTGCCTGTGGCAGCAATGACCAGCACTGAGGCGACAAAGAGCCCCTAGGTCATAAGTCCCAGAGTCAAAAGCCAGGTAGATGTGGGTGGTTTCTCAGCAAGGAGAATAGGTGAGGCCCAGGGGAGATAGGGAAACATGGGGTGAGGATCTTAATGGAGTGACTGGGCAGGAACAACGTTTAAGCTACACTTAAGGGCATCCACAGGGGCAAGGGCAAGAAGGCTTCATCTGCCTTCAGTAAAATTTCAGCCAGTTTGGGGGCGTGTAAGAGGGCAATTTCAAGGCCAACTGAGAAATTTTTGTGGGACTCCGACTGCAAACTCACGAAATGGAAAGTATAAAATTCTGCCCATAATGCCTAGTTCCAATCACAGGGAGTTCTAATAGGCACATATATTAGTGTCAATTCCCAGTATATTATCTATTATGTCCTTAATACAAACAATCGGAACATATTAGAATTAAACTGCTGTCAGACAATATTAAAAGCGGGGTAAAAGTCTGAAACTATTTAATATTGTATATATGCTTCATATATTTGTAATAACATCTCAAAGCCCAATATTTTAGCTAACGGTACTTTAAACAAGTTAATCCTACTTAAAATAATGACAGAATAATATAAACATATTCAGAGTCCAGCCGCTAATTTCACAGTAATAGCTTATTTGATGCTTAACTCTATCTTAACCCCACTGGTATGCCCAGAAATGTGACCATGCTGAAATAATGTATTGAGTTATAATATTTATAAATTAAGAGGGGTAGAATCTAGTTCCAGTCTAATTATGTCTGTGCAGAAAACAAAGTTTTTGGATACTTCTTACTTGCAATTGTATTCTCAATTTACTAAATGATGGGAGAGTTTTCGCTGTAAATCAGAAATCAATCAATCATTTTGTTCCTGGAAGAGCTCTTGAAATGCAATAAAAGGATGGCAAAATATTGCATAAAAACACAAAATTAAGGGCATCCAGTTTTATTTACATTCAAAGGCTGTGGGCTAAACCATAATCTATACGCAGTATTTTCAACCTGCTAAATGTGTGAGTTTCAGTTTCTCTGCACAAGTGCTCGCTATCAGAAGGACAGTTCATTGGGTATTGCACATGAGTTTAAGTATGCATATAATTGATATATAATTTACTGAAATAATGTTGATTTAAATGACCTAATGATCTATCCTATTTCAGATCACATTTTCTTTTTTTTATAGAAGGCTGTAGCTTTAGCAAGCATTGAGAAATTACAGTTATCGCTGCTTCTGTGAAACAGATTCTGTTGTCTTTGTCAGTAGATAATACAAAATCTGGGTGTGACACTGGATGCTAATCTATTTTTTTCTTGATTTGGGAATAATCCATCTTCATCGATAGACCAGGCTGCTCTTGCTCTTAATATGCCACAATATATTTAAGACTGTCATTATAAGAAGAAAATATGTTGCATTTCTAATAGCTGAACCATTAAATTTAGCCTTATGCATAAGAACGGACCACTGTGTTAGAATAAACATCCTATGACTGAAGCAAGTGCAAGTGTGCAAGGCATTTCTACCAAAATGGACATATCATCTCGTCTTTTTTTTCAAATTTAGAATGACAGTTCTTTAGAAAGATGCTGCCTAAATAAAGGAATAACTATACTTAATGCCCCAGAATTTGGAATTCACATGATGGTGCAACTATCATACTCATCATAATTACAGTATAAACTGACAGCAACTTCTAGCATTCACACACGTGTAACTAAAGATAAAAATACAGACATTGCTGTTGGTGATACTGTGCTTGACTACAGATGCCCTGTTGCAGCCTTTGTGAACAGAGCTAATAAAATGAAATCAACTGCGACTTTTTACAGACTATTCTTGCCATGAATGTTCAGCCTTACTGGATAAGGTGTAATTTAATTTTTAATTACTTGTGAACCATCTCTCTAACCTCCTCAGAACATTTAAAAACTGCATGATTTAAAAAGAAAATAACTTTAAAACTTTTTCTTATTTTAAAGGCATAGATATTACATTACAATTTCTATTATAATGCAATGTCAATCTCCAACTCTTTGTTTCACTCTCTATGAAATTATTAAAAAGTGTGTTACAATCCATCATTTTTATCTTCTATATTGTTAACTGGGAAAATCTTTCAAACTAATTGGCTAACCAGTCTATCTAATGACCATCGAGCATTGCCATAAAGCACGGGTCTCCTGTAGATGACACCAGATTCAAATTCACATCAGAATAGAGGAAATCGATGCCCTGGAGGCTGCTAAATCTTTATGGGTTGCTTTTATCAAGTTCAGTTGCGCACATTGCCCATTGCTGTTGCCTGCAACAACCAGGCTATGAATTTATCAACAGTTTCTTAGTTTTGCTCATAGATTTCTACTGCATATATATAGCTTACTGTGGTAGATAAAATCTGTGAACCAAACGATATACATTTATTAAACATACACCTCGAGATTTTGCTGTTTTGGTCTGAGGAAAGTAGTTTAAAAGTAACAACTATGATTAAGACAATTTTAATCTGCTGATTTTTTTCTAGTTTCTGCACGTCTTTCTTTCAATTAAATGCAATTTTATATGTTATAATCTGACCTTGGAACGTGAAGTTTTCTATTGAACTAGAGAGGCATAGGAGAACCTGATAGATGGGTCATATTTTTTAATAATACTTTGGCTAATCGGAAGGGTTCATTGACGGCACTGCAGCAATGATAATCCAGATATTTGATGTATCTGCTTGCGTAAAATTAAGGGTGTACGGAAGCGGCTGTGAAAGCGGAGTTTGGCGGTGACCATAACACGAACGTACAGGAAAGAAACTGATTTAAAACTAAGAATTGCAAGCTACTATAATCGTATCAATCGTTTATGATTTGCACAGTGCCCAGTTGTTTTAAATTAACTTTAGAATAATTCACAAGGTACTTAAAGAAATGTGATAGCCAAGTCGAAGACTTCAGCTTGAATTTCCTCCTCAGCATCTTAGCTGCTCATCCGCCCTAAACCACCATTGTCTTGTTTCATGACCGCATTAAAAGACTTTCTGGAAAGGCTATTATTTCATAATATGCATTTCTACTGCAGATGATGGTGTATGATGTTAGCCATCCAGCAGTGATAGTTCATAAATAGTCTGAGATATTGAATGTGACGATAGAATGCTCAAATGTTAATTACAGCAACAACAACTTACATTTAAGCAGCGCCTTTAACATAGTAAAATATCGCAACGCGTTTCAGACAAGACTTATAGGTCAGAATTGATTCGAGGCTCCTGCATTTGGACATGCTCGCCTAAACTTACACTTTCATAAATCTTATCTATAAGCTCACAACTGAGCCCAAACATCACGTATTTTCTTACATACAACTCTTGTTGATTGTCACTGCATAGATCATAAAGATTATCTGTTGAATGTTTGTTCCTGCAGCAATTCTTCTACTTGTTTCCCACTGTCGATTTTTCTGCTCATTAGTTTCATTGTTTGTTCTTCATTCTTCTTTTCCTCTTGCGGACTTTCACACCAATGTTTATGTCTCTGTTTCTGATTTCTTTTTTCCCCTTTTGTTTTCTTCTCCTTTTCCATAAACAAGAGGGCTTTCCCGCATTGAAATAATGAGAGTTACAAGGCAATGTTACTTATTTCAATGAAGGTATTTTTTTGCCATCGCCAAGTGCACCCAGATATCCGCAAGTGTTGGAAAACCCTGATCGCTTCTTTAGAGTTTTCTCTAAGATTGGCCCGCAGAGTTCACTATCAATCGACTGGAGCCCTAGTGTTAATCAATGTCAAACTCCTTCGTCGACGCTCGCTTGTCTCCCTACACAAAAAAACTCAATCACCGATATTTCTCGAACTTTCGTGCCTTACTAATAGCAATATGTTCTCTGAATTATTGAAAAATGAGACTGACTTATTGCTAGTGATTCTGTGTGTATCAAAATATCTAACTTGTTTCTGTTGATCGACGAACACAACCTCTTTCGTCCTTTCAAGAGAGTTCCTCTCAGAACATCACTGTATATGGCGTACCCAATTTCTAATGTTTTAGACTGTAGCTTTGTTTTGAGGATCATATTACCTGGATCTCATGATTAGTTGTTTATGCGTAACGTTCACAAAGTTCTGAGCTGGAAGCAAAAGAAAAACATTTTGATATGTAGTAATCTTGGTGCTGAAGAAAAGCAATTTAACCTGTCTTTATAAATAATGCCATCGTTTTTATATCTTTGCCATTATGCTTAACAACATAGCAATTTTTTTCCTTACATTTGGTTGAAGGAAGTTAATATTTATTGCCAATTCGCAATAGGCATCTGTCGTCGCTGATATATGGTGTAAGCATACAAATGGCACGCAACCTACACATTCTGCAGTAAGATAAAGTAGCGAATATTCTTGGTTAGGTAGAATTTCAATTGTGCAAGCAATTGAAACAGATTTAACCAGTGCGTAGATTGGCCTATGTTCTGGTATAACATTAATTCTAATTATAAGATCATTTCAACGACTCATTTGCGACGTTCGTGAACCGTCAACCGGTGGGAACCTAAAAGATTATCAGGTATTAAATTTGCCAAGTAAACCAATATTCGGAATTCAGTCAAAAAGTAAAAGCGTCATTTCTATATAAATGTATATAAGCATTGATTTTAAATAATATATACATTTGACATACGGGTGTCCTATTTGTTTAATAATTACTATTTCACGATACCAAGCTTACAGTATGGCCTCAGGAAGTGCCATGATGTGAACATTCTTGGTAAATTTCCAGATTCTACCCGCGGTTCACGGGGGCAATGTTGTTGTGACTAAGTCTCAGCTCGCCATGGAAACTTCAGCTAAGGTGTCCAATCGTCGGAGACCTTCATTGTTAGCTTCATCAGTGTACCTAAATGATCTAGCAAATAGGTCAAGCCGGTTATGATTTAATAGACACGTATTGAAATGAATGTTCCTGCGGACATGGAATATAGCTAAAGTTATTATGTTGTGCTGAGATGGTACATCGGAAAGCGTGAGAGTGCCAAAAGTTTCTTGTCACTGCTGGGAAGAGAAGATTTCTGATCGGTATACGTTAGGTGCATTGTCGAGAGGGGAGTATCCTGGAAGTGATTTGGAACTGAGCTGGGTTTCGGTGGTGCATAATATATTCTCAAATAGATTTAGCAAAGGTCGGAATAGAGAGTGAGCCGAGCGTCAGTCCTGCTTGCGGTGTTTATCCATACACAATACTGACACCTGAGACTGCGTTGCATAACAAGACTGTTGGCTAGCATCTTATATGGCACAAGCCAGGTCGGAAATGGAATGCATTTTTTAAAAATTGTTTTAGTGAACTTGCATCACTGGTTGCCTTTCAAACGCGTTAAAGTCAATACAAATAAAGTAATTACACAGTGAAATACTCATAGATTGTTGAGGGTGCTGTCAACAAAAATAAATGCAGATTTCTTATCCATATACACTCAGGCCAATAACCTTTTACAACGAATTATTTGGCGTCATGATCTACACCTGGACGACATGAGGACTGCGGGTTATGAAGTTATGAGTGTGCACATATATTGTATGTAGTTTATATATTTGTTAATTATATTCATATATATTTATATATATTCATGTTTGCGATGTCCTCCGTTCGTTTGCTCAAAGACACGAACAACTTACATGAAATATTGAACTTACAGATCTCGAGGCGCCCGACAAGAGACCCAATCAAAAGAAGTGAAGCCAGAGCCAAACAAGGAGGATGGAGGAGTCATGGTCGGTGGCATAGCCAAAACAGGAGGAGTTAAAGGAAGCTTTTAAAGGAAGAGACAGAGGGGAAAGGAACAGAGGCGCTTAGAAACGGAAGCCCAAAACATGAGGCCCAGGTGGTTGAAAATAAGGCTAAGGTTCTCAGAGATGAAGATCTAAGGGCGTGGCTTCTCGGTTTGGGTGAATTCCTCGAGACAGGGAGCAGCCAACCCATCTATAATCCATGTTAATGAAATAACCAGTGATGCTTAAACTCATCTCTGTCTCTCAGTTAAATAAGAGTTCCGGTGAATATTTTCTAACTCTGCGCCTTTTCTGTGAGGATGAATATTCAATTTGAAACTACCTCCAGAATTGTTCAGGAGAATATTTTAACAGAATGTTATAATCCCGGGTTTTATTTTTAACTGTTATTTTAAAACACGCACACGTTAACTGTCGATGAACTGTGCAGGGATTAGAAATAGCAGTTTTTAATGACCACCTTGTGTAATGACTGAGTTCGGACAGGTTACCTACGAAACGTTGTTATGCCCACGTCTATCCCAGAATAAGAAAGGATTTTCACTTTGAATGACCTTATTGAGAGTTTATTGATGGCAGTGAAATGAGGTCTGCATTTTTTCACTGTCAGACCCGGGTAAGATATGCTTACGATCAAAGGCTACAATTTGGCGTGTAAATTTATCGCAGTCGAGAGAAACAATACCTGACATTATCCCCGAGGAAATACAATGCCCAGGAAGAAACCGAAATGCCAGGAAACTATTTTTGGATTGAAAAATACTCCTTGACCGATTTGCAAAAAAAAAGTTATCGGAGGATAGAAATGCCATTGCTTGTGGAGATTAGTATCTATATGATCAAACTAGCCGCCAGACCAAAACGAATGGAGTCGCCTTTCTATTAAGTAATCAGTAACTGAAGGGGGCCAAACACTGTAGCAGGTACACTTATACAAGCAAGAAAGGGCATTTCTAATAAAGTAAAAGCGGAGACCGCCAGTCTGTTACATGACTACCGCAATAGTTGATTAAATAATGCCAATAACTGAATAGGTATAAATAACGATTTGCCCAACAACCGATTGTAAAGTCAATTTGTAGAATGCTTGTTACAATAGCAAGACACGAGCTCCAAGGCAGGGAATGTCCTCTCTGCAGCATCAGCCCCAATATTACCATCGACTGAAACTCTCCAGAAGTTGCTCTGGTGATCAATCATCGGTTTAAATCACTAATGAAAAGCGAAAAATGAGCTTTATTCGGCGCCTAAATCGAACTAATTAGTGGTTTCCAGGAATAGAGGAGTTGCTTTGAGGTTTAAAATACGGGCAGTCTATACTGCGTGAAATAAAACCGGTATCACGATAGAACCTATCAAAGTATAAGCGACTTTCAACATTCAGAAACAAATGAAAACCTTAAGAGATCAAATCGCGTAAGTGACTCTCGCGAGTCAGTAGCTGGACTTAACGGGTTATAAAGGCACTATTAGGTAATAGGGTTAAAGGAATAATGCCTTTACAATCTAATAATGAAGCGTTCGCTTTCAAGGAAACCCCACAAGCAACTCGGGATTATTATGATGGTTTACATTCAGGTTTTCCAGACTTGTCTGGATCCTTATTGACCTGCTGTAAAATAGGACTCGTGGGATTGCTCGTATTGCTACCTGTTTGCACCTCACTTGCTTCTATTTACTGATTCGTATAAAAGCAAAATACTGCAGACGCTGGAGATCTGAAATAAAAACAAAAATTGCTGGAGAAACTTAGCAGATCTGGCAGCCTCTCAGGAAAGAGACAGAAGTTACTATTTCCAGCCCGGAATGTTCAGCTCGGGAGGAGAATCATAACCGACCGGAAACGTTAACTCCTTTTACCTGTCTGCACAGATACTGTCTGACGGGTTATGAGCTTTTTTTCAGCAGTTACCTGCGTGATATTTTTGTCTTATATCGTTTTGTAATATATGTTCCGGGCGGTGTTGTTTTAAAATGAGCATGATAAAATCTTCCGCATTGTGTCTAAATCCGCCACACCTTCCTTTCCCAACCCTGTAATAATTGCAGGCATTGTGAACGCAGTGTTCTTCCTGTGACAATTTTAATGCGAACCTTTTGGCACGGATTAGGTTCGAGCATGACTTCGAATTAGTTTTGTTAACAATTTGTTCTTGGTTACGATTTTCCAGCCGTTTTTGCTATTCACTAGTCAGAAATAGTTGTGATTGTATTTGGGAAAGACTTTAATTGTTAATTAGAGCCCAGTAACTTGGGAACTAGTTACATAACTTCAAGGCAGTTTGTCACATTTTTGTAAATGTTTCTCCATTTCACGGGATGCTGCCTTGTTCGACACATCTCAAACATTCCTGCCACACCATTACCACTGACCAGGCACACCAGGACCAGCCTGGCAGGAGGAAAAGCACCTACACACTGGGCTTGATCGCCCAAACCAAGGTGGATTCGTACTCGGGGGACCAGGAAATTTGCAGCATTGGCAAAAGATTCAACGATAGATAGAAACCAGTGTCAAAAATCCAGCGTATATGGGAAACCGCTAGAAACCCAACTCATAATGCTAGTGTATTGAAAATAGCGGAAAGTTTCTAAAATATGCAGAAGAAAAAACTTTTCAAACCAAGTTTGTGAAGTTGATTGGTTCTCCAGCATTAGAGGCTAGTGCTTTCTTTCCTATTGTATATATTGACGCTTCTTTACCAAATCTCATCTTCCATGGGTTTGATATCGTCTTGCTATTTTAAGAGTGTTGGGGCCTTTCATCTCTCAGGACGACCCAAAATACTTGAAAGTCTATTGAGTGTTTTGGAAGCGCTGTAATATTGAAAATGTCCATAAAATGATTGCAATCCTTAATTGTGGCCGCTAGATGTTGCTGCTAGGAGTTATCTGTCAATGGTAGTACAAAGGTGTCCTAAAATGCCCACCTTGAAAACACCCAGTCATCTGAACAGAACTACAGATGCCCCAACTGGCGCAAAATTAGTCTAAACATATGCAGGGAATATCAAAGGAAAAAATGGACAAGCAGAATGTTAAACATTGAAAAAACGTCAGAAAAATCAACAGGAATATCGGACATGCGCGAAAGATGGCAAATATAACGAAAATGCCGACAAAACTAAAGCCAGCGGCAGGACACACCGTTTAAAAATCAATACTCTCTTTCGATTTCCTGACTAATAAGTCTAGAGTTTAAAAGCAGACAAGGTAAGTGAGTGGAGCACCAGCAACTTGGTAACCTGCAATCCAGAAATAGAAAATGCAAGACAGCACCTTTGTGGGAGGATTGTTAGAATGGTTCCAATTTTGTTTTCCAACTAGCTGTTCGCAAACTACA